CCCTGAGTTTAGTAAGATTTCCTCCAGCGCGGGTTTGACTCTTGATATGAGGGACGCTCTGTGTGTAATCAGAATTAGTGTTAGCAAACAGTTATTTTGAATTTAAATATGTATATTTTTACCTTTTAGAAAAAGAGCAAACAACATGACTCCAATTTTATTCAGAAGTACTTTGATCCCGTGGTGGTGTGCTGTGTAATCAGTGTCAATGGAAAAAGGCAGTTGAACGTGCACAGTAAACTCTGAAATTCCAAATAAATGTCGGTTGTTTTCTCCTTCCAAACTGTAGGTCTCAGAGAATCAGTCTGGTTTGAATATATCCCAGTTTAGCTTCATTTGGATTTATTTTGATTATAAATATTGGTGTGTTCTTGAATCAAAATCCCGTTTAAGGAATGTTAAAAAAGGAAAAGGAAGGGCCGGCTTAGTGGCTCAGTTGGTTAAGAGCTCGCTCAAGAGTTTGAGCTCTGAGCAACAGTGGTTCGAGTCCAGCCCGAGCTGAGCAGCCGCTGAGCTGTCAACAGGTAGCAGGATGTTCAAGAAAAAAAAAAAAAAAGGAAAAGGAAAAGGAGGTATCCATATTGTCATCATTCATTCGGAGAATAGTTAATGTGTGAAGCCCACCCATCCCCCAAACACTTCTCACCCAGCCAAACCCAAGTGGGAGGTCTAGAGAAGGCATCCACAATGGGACGGCACTGACTGACATGGTGACGTCTTTGGCCTCCTATTGCTGGCCAGTGAAAGGGATTCTGTGCTTTCTGAGGTGGATAGAAATGGACTGAGGTTGGACGAGGAGCCTAGATTAAAAGGGAGGCCCTCTATTTGTTTCAGAAGCACTTGCCAAACTTATATGCATTCTGCCTTCAGAAAACACTTTAAAGGGACTTTTCAAGCTTGAGCACTATTGTGGGCCCAGCTGTCAAAGTGTCAAAGCTGACATGATGGGCTGTAATGTCTTAGTGCTATATGATGAACCCTTAAGGTTATGACATTACGTCTACAGTTTGCTAGGCAGGGCTTGATTTTCCTGAGTGACGGGAAACAGTTTATTGTGGCCCAGGTCAGAAGGACCGGGGACAGCTTTGAACTCGGTCAGCAACGCGGGAGGTGTCAGTGCTGAGACGGACTCAGATCCTTTTATTCGGGTTATAGTGAACGTGGGTTTATTGAGAACTTGGATATGGCTAACCTTTGCAAGGGTAAAAAAAGAAAATATTTCTTGGTATAGCCTTCTTTTATGTCAAGAAAGACTTGACTTTGTCTGATTGAACCTCCCCTATTTCCGCCTAGTTACACAGTGGAAGGTTACTCGTTGTGAATAAAAAATGTTCTTCTTTTCTGAACTGACATGCATTTGTAGCATATGTGGATTTCTGTGAGAATTTATCGGGGCATTTTTGTTTTTAGTGGCATAGTGTATATAATGTTCGAATTACCAGACTTGGACAGACCCATCACCTTTGCATCATAGGAGGTAATGCTCTTAGATGGAAATTGACTTAACATTTCTGAATCCATTTACGCTTTCAACCTGAATGGTTGAGTGACGATAACTAGAAATATGCCCAGCTTTCTAGGGCTCAATGTCATATTTACGTAGATTTCTTTCTTCCCGAAATATGTAGTAAATGTAGACATCCATTCAGCTTGAAAAGGCTTCATCTAACCTCAGATAAAATATTTCCTAACTCGTTAATTATATAGTTGGACGTCTGTGGACTAGCTCCACTTTCTTTACATTTTTCTTGAGTTATAATGATCAAAACACAATAGCTGTTCTAAGGAAGGTGATTGGTTTTTGTAGCTGTCTTTTCTGGTATCCTTCCTGGAACATTTTGCATAATATTTACTTAGGAGCATAACTGAGGGCTCCAGAACCCAGAAAGGGCCATTGTATGTTTTTGAGGTGGTTATTTCATCCTGTGAGGAATTGTGTTGGGTATGGCATCATTCGTCCCCAGACAGAATGGGGGGAGTCACTTGGTTATTAGAGTAACTAGAGTCAATTTGTTGTAAATGGACATAAAGTCAGAGTTGGAAGAGCTACTCAACAAATATTTATAGAGTGCTTACTATATGTGTGGCATTGCTGTAGTTACTGGACCCAGAAGCTTATGTTCTCCTGTAGGGAGACAGACATTAGAAAAAAGGATTGAACATATTGGTGATAAGGTCAATAGAACAAATTAAGTTACAGGTAAGTGCTAGCATGGGGTGGGGTTGGGGGGCTTCCTATTGAAGATGGGTTGGTCAAGGAAGCTGTATGGTAATCCGCGTTTGAGCAGAGACCTGAGGGTTTAGCTTGAGAGAGAAAGGGCGCGCTCCCTGAGTATGTGGCTATCTATAGTAAAAATGTGAAAGGTAGCATTGTTCTTGGTATATTGAGGAGCAACAAGGAAGCTAGTGTGCTTTTTAGAAAGAGAAGAAGAGGAAGAGAAAAAACAGTGAGATCACATAAGGCCTTGTAGGTGATTTGTTAGGAATTTGGCTTTTCCTGTGAAGGGAAGCCATTGGAGGGTGTTGAACAGAGACATGCCTTAATCCGACTGTATTTTAACAAGCTCTATCTGGCTACTATGTGGAGAACAGAGAACGGGGAGACAAATGTGGAAGCAGCAAGGCCAATTAGAGGGCCATAGGATAAAATCTAGAGATGGAAAATGTTCATGTGAAGAGCTTATTAGCGATGAAGTTGGTACCGTGTGGGCCAGACTGAAAGGGAAGGTTTGGATGAAGAAAGGGTCGTCAGGAGTTGGATTTGGGGCAGGTGAAGTTTGAGGTGCCTGTTACATATCCAGGTGGAGTTGCTGAGTAGGCAATTAAACACAGCTCTGGAGTTTAGGAAGACAGCCTCAGGTCAGAGACAGGCATATGAGGGTCAGTATAGATGGTATTTGCATTACCTAGGGAGTTGGTACAGAATTAAGACAAGGCCCAAGGGTAGACACCTACAGCACGCCTGGTATAGACGCTGGGGATATGCAGCATGGATTCCACAACTGTTTATTGAGGGCTTTCTACCCAGATGAGGAGTAAGCAGAAAAGGAGACTGAGAAGGAGGGGCCAGTCAGACGGGAGAAGGGCCAGCAGAGAGGGACTTCCGAGACGGCAAGGGAAGAACATGATTCAGGAAGGAAAGGGTACAAGAAGTGACCTCCCCTGTTATGCTACTGAGATGTGTTGGCCCAGATGACAACTGGCATATAGCCATTGAATTTTACAGCGGGGGGTCATTAATGACCCTGATCATAGTTATTTCCAGGAAGTGGTGGGATGAAAACTCATTGAAGTGAGTTTTGCTGAAGATTGAAACAGAAAGATGGGGTCCAAAGATGATATAGGGCAGAATGACCATCTAATTTGTCATCCCAACCAAGACACTTTGCCAGTAGAAGGGGGTGCCCCTGGGGTATATTAAATGGTTGTTCTTGGCAGTAGGGATGGGGACAAGAGAGAGTTTGCAGGGAAGTATCTGTTTATGTCCACTCATTTACTTTCTCTGAAGCAATTTCTTATATATGACTTGACCAATTCTTAGTCCATTGGTAATTCCGTTATTTTAATAGGCTTTGGTACGGAGTATTTGTCCAGAGCTTTTTAATAGTTCTGTTTTGTCCACGTGCATTTTATTTCCTCAAAGAACGAATTGACTTGACAGTTTTGATTTCCCTGTGCACACTTAAAAAAAATCCTGCTCTTAAATATAGAGGTTTGTTGAAAATGCAGCTCAGTGCCCTAGAGTTTTCATCATTTAATTGAAATACTTTCAGGGATAAGAGAGTCATAATAATGGTTTTTGGTCCTCTAACAAAATAGGTATTTATATAATGACAGGCATGTGTTTTAGCTACTATTGATTTTATTTGAGTTCCAGTATTTCCTTTTAAACAGAGATCATGATCCCTTGATAACTTGCTAATGCATTTTAGTAAATTTTTTTTCTCTATTGTAAATTGTTTCATTTCAGTGTATTTTCACTTAGAGTACTAGTCTTTAGTTCTTTTTTTTAAATCAATTAAAGAAAAAAGCAACCCATTTATGTTTATTTATAAAAAATTACAAATAACTTATGCATATGCTATCAATGTTTTTTTCACATAACAGCAATTAAAAAGGACGAGATAAAGATGAACAGTGTTTAAAAATCACATTACTATTTATGATAGCTTTCTACAATCATTACTTACTATTTCAAGGCACCACCATACCAGTGGTTCTCAAATTTGGTTACCAATTAGACTCTCCTATGATGCTTTTTAAAAATCAGGAACACCCAGCCCCAGTGCAGACATGTTGAATCAGAATCTCTAGGGAATGAGATTGGCCATTATTATTATTATTATTATTATTATTATTTTTAATCTGTGACTGATATACAGTGAGGTTGAGATTCACTGCTCTGTATACTGAAGGTAGATTCATCATTTGTGATAATTGATGTAAATCCAAAATTTAGATCTTTTTACAACCTCCTTCCCTGCCCTAAGTTCTTGTCAGTGCTGGTTAGATTGTATCTGAAGCTTGTTCTAAGCCACTTCTAAGAGCACAGGTGATCACTCCTGCCACTTTCTTGTATGATTATGCTTTGGCGGAATTTGTACTATCTTCAATGTGTTGATGAATATTTTTAAACCACTCATCCCTTTTCTGAAGATAGTTTATGCAAAAATCTGTCATTTTACTTTACTGAGGCACAGGGAAACTGCAAGAAAAGCAACTTACCCAATTGCTTTTATGATAAATTGTTTTTATAATAAATTCCCCAGCAATATAGCTATGTGATAGACATATTGACTAAAGTAGGTACAGTTAATCTATGGTGTCTTTTAAAATTAAGGTAAGAGAAAAATACAATTAAGGTATGAGAAATTAGTTGTGGTTGAAATTTAGTTCTGTGTAGATAGACAATATGGACTAGTAGAGTAGGATCCCAGACTTAAATGAGGGAAATAAAAGACTCGGTTTACTTACTTTATTTCACTTCTTTTTTCCCATAGGGAATTTGAAATACTGCCTTGTGATCCTGAATCAGCCTTTGGATAAATATTTTCGTCATCTTTGGAGCAAAGGTAATCTTCATTAGTGTTTATATTTCTCTGTTTTCTCTATTTGGGACTGATTCACATGACTATTATATATCCCGGAACTTAAATGTAATACCAAAAAGTGGGTTTCATTTTAAGGTGATTTAATGATTGAATTATCAGAAGAATCCATTATTGCTTCTCTGTTAACCTCAGCATGGACCACGAGGGCAGAGTTACAATGCAGCACCCCTGTACTGTGTCAGAGCTGCTGTGTGGATGTTAATCCTGAGTACTCAAGTATTTGTTCAAGTGTAAATATTTTTGGCAGCAGTGACAACGAAAAACATCCACAAATCTCACTCGTCCCAGCTTTCAATAATAAGATATCTACAGGGTGACCAGATTTGCAAAATTAAAAAAGGAGATATGTTACCAGTATGTTAGAATCTCTAGGGATGCTGAAAAATATAGTTAGAAATGGAATCATTTCACAGAATTAATACTTCTGTGAGGTTTCATGGAAGAGAGAGGCTTTATTAACTCTGTAAAATTATTCTTTAACTTTTGTAGAATTAACTCTAGGCTAGAAAATAATATTAAATGTCATTTGCTCCTTTGAACCTCTACTCTTCTTCCATGAAATCTTGAGATTTTTTTCTAAAGGGTTACTTCTGATAAGTTATCAGTGTAAATTTTAGGCCACTGGATAAATGGGCGAAAGAACTTGATTCTGGATACATTGATGCATATTCCTGATCCTCTCTTGTCATAGCAGAATTCTCAGCAACCTTTGGTTATGTTAAAACAAATAGATGGGTAACATTGTGTTTCAAATGCGTTTATTGTTACCTGCCTGGATGATTCATTAGTCAAATGTTTATTGGCTTTGTAACTTATCACTGCTCACAGACCCACATCTTTTTGCTCCATGATTACTTTCTGCATCTTGTTTACAGGAGGCATTTCATAATCCCAGTCCTTCTCCCGGGGTATGGGGTATCGCCAGCAGTTAATCATGATTCACAGCATGGTGTATTCTCTCTGTTGAGCAGCACACAGAACATTGCAGGCATAACAAAAGGGGCATTATCGCTGTACTGGCTGGAAATAGATTTGTCATCTTGGAGAGAAGAAAAAAGATAAATATAAACGGAAATTTGTAGGAGAATGGATATGAATGTACAGAGAAAGCAAATTTACGGATCTTAACAAATATAAATACGCCAACTTAAACGACTATATATTTATTTAACCCAGTAGATGTAATTGTTCTCATTTATCCGTGTGGCGTATCCATGACCAGATGCTTAAATTCGCCAGTCTCCTTTGCTTCAATTATGTAGACAGGACTATTAGTTTTATTTTCCTTATTTTTTAATTTTATTAATCTCAATTATTACTAAATCAAAGATGTCCTTGAGAAAATAAGCTTTCGATTGAAACATTCAATAGGCCTCTGAGTACTACGAGTATATTCCAAGATTCTTGCTGTTGAATAAAATACCATCTCTCATTGTAGGAAATGAGATACGAATACTGTCATAATATTTCAGATGGAACACTGTTTCTACCCTGTTTTCCCCAAAATAAGACCTACCTGAAAAATAAGCCCTTGTATGATTTTAGGTGCCAAAACATGCACCTTGGCATACTGAATATTTTAAGCTGAAGGAGTTTGTGGGAAAGGCACCTTTCTCCCTAAAACAGGTCATAAAACCCTCATGTGAGGGGTGCGTGCCCTCATATCCTGGAGGAATCATGCTAGGGCTTATTCTCTGGCTAGGTCTTATTTTCAGGGAAACACAATAGTGTTCCCCCTTTTTAATGGGACATTTTTAGCAGAGGCCTCCATAACACCTTTCATTCCTTTTATGCCTTTTTAAAAATATCTTGCCTTACATAACAAAGCAAAATATATAACATGTTAATGTTACAAATTAGTCTAAAACTAGTATTTTATCCCAATAATAACAGAATTGTAAGCATACTTTCATAATTTACTAGTATTTTCTTGGATGGGTGAATTGTTTATCTTCTCAGAGCATAAAAACAAATCGATATATCTCCTTTCTGGGCTTTACAGAAGCAACAGTTCTTGCCTCCATAGGAGAAAAATAAATTGAAAGAATATGCAAACTTTTTTGTAAATAGAAAGTAATGTTTTCATATTAACAGCATTAAAGGCTGTGTATACATTACATATGTTAAATGCAGTGCAGAAATGATTTGGAGGTTCTATTTGTAGAAAGTGGGTTTTATATCATGTCTGTCTTGCAGGGCCTTTGGTCCTGTCCAAAATGTCCATGGAGATACTTGGTCCACGCTCAAAGGCCTTTGACATTTGGTCCTTCACATGAGCCATTATTGGCTAGGCTACCCAGGCAAGAAGGATCGTTATTGGCAATACAGACACAGCATGGTTATTGGACCAGTAAAACATGGTCGAATTTTTTACATACTAATCCTGTAAACCAAAAGTATAAATAAATGTTATGGGCTATTTGGACTCAGGGATGTTTTCTAAGAGTGGATGTTTTTGACAGTACCAAATATCAGGAATGATTTGGCAGGGACCCAGTATGCTCATGGACGTTTTCGATTGGACCAAATTTCAAGGACTGTTTAGCATGAATCAGATGTCTCTGTGGATGTTTAGGACAGGGCCACATGTCTACTAATCCACATCTGTGACATCTGTTAGTTTTCCATCAGCCTGCAACAATGCTGTATCGTAGCGAAGTAGAATCCTGAGGCCTTTCAGGGTAATTGGAGGCATTCTTTCTCTGTCATTTATTCAGTTTAACAAAATTTGAGGTTGCGATATGAATGTTTATATTTTCTTTATTAAGCACACTGGCATTTAAATTCCTGGAAGGAAGGTTGAGCTATGTAATACCTGTACTCCTTGCAAGAAGAAAAAAGATTAGTTATGGTGAATTTTGATTAACTCAGCAAATGAGAAAATTTTTTCTGCTAACCTTACTTTAGAAGTTATAAATCATAATTGTCAAACTCCCAATTAGTATGAAACAGCTTGGTTAAGATTTGGTCCATTCTCTTAATTTATTCTATCTCTGCACTAATGAAACTTCACATTTTGAGTGTTCACCTTGGTACCTGGAGATATTTTGCCATTAAAGTGGGTTTTGATTACATTTACCATGTGGTACTTATTATGTCAGGAACATTGACTAATTATTTTATATGAAGATTTTTAATGCTTGTGAAATAAATACTTGTTAGAAGTGCTTATATATTACTTAAGGAATATTTCTTATATATTAAGGAATAATTCTATTACTGTAGTATAGATAACAACTTTGTTAGCATTTCCACTTTAGAGTTAATGTAAAATTTACCTTTGTGTACTGGTGAGCCTTTTGATTCTCTCAAACAATTTGATATCATACCATTATCTATGGTGTCTTTCTATTTTTCTTTGTTTCATTTTTATTTTTGAATATTGAACTAATGGTAATTTCACCTGCTTTATGTTCAATTTTGAATCCCAATTAAAAGATTTATTAATTGTGATACCTGTATAGTGTCAGTTCAGTAAATGTAAATAGCATTTCAAGTAAAAGTTATTAGTAGTTAATTGAATTTCTTTCAGGTTAATGAATGCTATCAGCATAATTCTGTAACTTATTTTAAGGTAAACCAATAGTAAATATGTCAGCAAAACAGTGAGGACAAGTTATAGAGATGAATAACAAGTTATTTACAACTATGGAATGACAAATCATAAAATTGAATTAACTGGTAAATGTATGTGGAAGAGTATTTATCGGTGAACTTTTTGTTATTACCAGTACTTTTTTTTCTGTCTTGGATGTATCAGGACAGCCTTGAGATGGTATCTGACAGATGTTTGATTCATCAGGCTAGGAGGTTATTATCCTTGATTGATTGGATGCTATCATTATCTTTATTTCTTTTGACCTTTCCAAATAGCACATTTTCAGCTTTGGTACCATAAATAAAATCAGAGGAAACACTTATCCAAAACAAGCTAATACATGTTTATCACTTACATTCATCTTCTTATAACATTGGTAATGAGATGTGCTTTTATTTTCAATTAAGTTATGAAATTGGTTGTTTTCTGATTAGTTTCTTCAAGTTTTCATGATTCTTACCTATATTTATTTACTATGCTTGGTATTTGGAATGATTTAGATCTTCGTTTGGGACCTTTAGATGATATAATACATGACAGAGGTACTTTTAATTTTTAAAGTAGCTATTGGAAACTTTCTCAAATTAATAATTATGTTAATACTACCAAAGGAAATTAAAGAATTGGAAAATATATTTTTACCTATGAGTATCTAGAAAATAAGTCTATAATAGATAACCAGTATTGTAAAGGGGAAAATACAAATATTTCTCAATATGCCAAAACAGCAAAAACAAAATTTCCACATATGGATGAGTTAGAGAGCATTTTCCAACTTCAAAAATTCTTTTATTTCTTATTTTATTTTATCGAGAAAATGGGATCTTTCCTGAGCAGATTTAATAAGGATGAATAAACTAATGTTCCTTGGAGGTTTTGGAGATAAGCATTACATAAAGCAAATAAAGCGAGAGGACTTTGCAGGAGACTTAAATTCGTTCACACAGTACAGACAGTGATCATAAGAAAGAATCAAGGTTTAGTGGTCTCGCTGATGTCAGAAATAGAGGCTGTATTTATTTTCCCCCTCCAGTTTTTATCTGCTTCCAACTCTTTGCTACCTATAGTCAATATATAAAGCAGTGCTTTTTAACTGTGTGTCACCTCCTCCCCTTCCACTCCCCAGCCTTGCTTTATAAACTACGCTTAGAGAACAGCAATAGATCATTTTAATTAAACAGTATGGAAGTTTTTCATGGGGGACTAAATTTAATAGAATTGTTTTAGCTGTTAACTTTCCATATTGGATTAAGATTTGTTTTCAAATTGCTAAACTGATGCCAGCTCTATTATTCTTGGCCTGAAATATGCTCTCCACTGGGTATTTCTATATGTGTCTCTTATTCAACAAATTTGAAACTAC